ATTTTCTGTCTGTCCCATTTCAAGGGCTCTCTGGTATTAACCTCAAGGGTGGAGTTTGCATCAGTTTTATTATAATCCTGCCTTGGGCCAGAAAAGGGACCATGTAACACCTTGGGACTGGACAGGTTGTTAGAAAACATCCATTGTCAGGAGTTGAGTGTCCCACATCTGCTGTGAACCAGGAGTGTGGATCAGGGCAAGAGCTCGAGTCCAGGGGAGGACAGATGGTTGTTCCATCCCCTCCACCACACCTCCAAAGTCAGCCACAGGTTGCAGTAGCTCTAACTGCCATGCATTCTGCATCTGTAAGAGCTAATCGTAATGGCTAGGAAAGGAAAAGGGGGCTAACCCACCTCATTCTAAGTGACAGCTCCATCAAACTTTACCTATAGCTGTGATGTCAGAAATTCCCATGGAATGATAATGTCTCACTTCACACATAGTCCCACATTTTAGAACTTACAGTAGTGTGTTGGATAGGGAAGTTAAAAACACCCACGCTGATTGTGTTCAATTGGTTTTTGGATCAGTGTGTATTCATGTAGGATAAAACTGAAGTCCTCGGGCACCTATAATAGAGAATTTAAAGAACGACACTGATTTAGTTCATTAAAACACTGCCATGAGCAGTAGAATCCTTTTGTCATATTAGCAGTTGTTTGCAGAGGGCTGTATTTGCATTATCATGTTTATTTGACATAAGTCACAAAAGCTTTTTTTAGTCTAAATGCACAAGACTTTTGGTGACTTCTGTATTATACCAGCCATCGAGGCTTCCTATCCCAAGTCATGTTGCTGTCTTTAAGGAGCAGAAATGAGGGTGCCAAAGCACCAGAAATCATTTGTTTCAAACAGTTTGAATGCTTTTTCCAGTGCTTTATGTCATACACAGCCCAACTCCTGTTTGTTAAGCTGACGCTCCCAAGAAAAGCAGATACTTAATGTTCCCTGTGAGTAAAGCATAAGGGAGATGGAGAGAATACAGCTGTGGCTCCTAAGGTGCATGTCTTTTAGTTGGGAAATTAACACATATAAAAATATGTAACAATACAAAGGACTCTGACAAGTTCAAAATGGTTATATAAGTCCTCTAAGATCACAGGCAGTAAGAAAATGCATGGGAGTAGTAGTCACAGACAGTGCTCAGATAGCTTTTGGCCTATGCCAATTTAAAGAATGTTTAATTCAATGGCAGTAAAAAAAAGTACTCCAGTGTGGAGCTTACGTTTGGAGGAACAAACAGAAGTACATGCATATATACACAGCTGCCTAATACGATGAGAGATTGATGAATGAGATGAATAAGCCCAACAGGAATGTGGTTACTTTAGGTAAGTGTGGTCCGCCAAGGAAGGCATTTAAAGGTAAGTGGGAGCAGGCCATGAGAATTCTACAGGTGTATAGCTAACCTTGATTGCCAGCATCTGAACATCAGGAGATTCTAATGCAAATCGACTACTTGGTTTTCTAGGAAGAAGGGAAGAACTGGCTACGTTAGGTCCAGATTTCTATGTCCAACTGGAGCGGAGTCATTACTCTGTCTTTCAGAGAGTCCCTAGCCCTCTCTGGCTCACCACAGTCTCCACCTCTGCTTTGCCTTACATCCATCTTCTCCATTTGCTACTACATTCCTTGTTTCTGTAGGCCTTTGGGCTGTGACCTCCGCTTGGGAAGAAAATAAACTTTCCTCCAACAGCTATCAGGCCAATCTCCTATGTAAACTTAGACATACACTTCTAATCTACTTTAAAAAATAATCATAGAGACTAAACATAGTAGGTTAGTCATATGTGTTGGTCTCTTTTTCTCAAAGCCACACCAAAATAAGAGTAAAAGGAATAAAACATAAACCCACAGGGTCAGCCCACAAGAGAAGGTATCAGTGGATGAAAAGGTATGATAATCTGAAAGGTGGAAACTGGTTGGAATGTTGATAATCAAAATCAGTGCAAAGAAATACAGCCAAAATTCATCATGTAGAACAACCTTAAAGACTCAAGGCTTGCAGACAGCGGGTAGAGAGGAAGAGAGGTACAAGACAGGATTGAAAATGAGGAAGTGGTTATAAGTTGGAGCCTCAGGAAACTTCCCCACCCTGAGCAGTCAGATGCCAACTTCTAGCCAAGGCAGGAGAATTGAAGTTTTCCATTATTCTCTGGAAAAATGGAACCATGGAAATGAAGGCTTTGGGGACAGTGGGCATGATGATGGGCCGGGGTGAGATGCAGGGCTGGAAATGAGTTAGGTACAAATCTGCTTGTTCTACCATGGTCCTCTGCTCCCCATTCCCTTAGAACACCAGGACCAGAGGGGGTAGGGAGGGAGTGAAACGTTTATCTGGTATGTTTGGCCATTTGGAAAAGAATATTGATGGGTACCTGATAGGTCTAAAAATATATTGTCAAAAAATATATAGATATAGATACTAAGTTAAGCAAACAGAAAAACAAGTCAGTGTTAATTCTAGGAAAGACAAAACTCAACAAGAAAGCAAATGTAATCCCAATTCACTGGCCAGCTCTGCAGTTAACAATGTACAGTTCTAATAAAGATACTAATTATTGAGTTAACTTAAAATCTTAACTTTTGAGATGATGGAGAAAGACATGTATATGTGGTAAGGAAAGAGCAGAGAGATGAAAGAGCTACACTTCATTTCATCCAAAGCAAGAATAAATATATAAAACATTAAAAAGTCACACCTGTAATCCCAGCACTTTGGGAGGCTGAGGCGGGCAAATCAAGAGGTCAGGAGATCGAGGCCATCCTGACTAAAATGGTGAAACCCCATTTCTAATAAAAATACAAAAAATTAGCCGAGTGTGGTGGCACATACCTGTAGTCCCAGCTACTCAGGAGGCTGAGGCAGGAGAATTGCTTGAACCCAATAAGTGGAAGTTGCAGTGAGCTGAGATCACCCCACTGCACTCCAGCCTGGGTGACAGAGCAAGACTCCATCTCAAAAGAAGCCAAAAAGCCACCAAAGTAAATGCATGACTAAAACATCCACATGCCTAAGTATTTGAAGACAAATTTTCTTAGGAAAAAAGGAGTGGAGAATTGAATATGTGATTGAATATAGAGGTAGAAATGTTAAAACCGTGGACTAGGCGGTATTTAACGGGAATGGAGGATGTGGAGATGTGGCAGGCACACAGGCTGCATATGGGGTTTTGGAAGTGGAAGAAGAGTTAAGTGTATTTGCTGTGAGGGATGGCAGAACTGCACTAATCCCGAATGCATTCAGGAACGGGCAGTAAGCAGAAAGCACCCAAATGTATCATCACAAAGCATGCTATCCACAGAAGCATTTCCCCTGTCCCTGTACGCAGGCACTCTTGGGTACACATAGAGCACCAACTTTCCAACCACAGCAAATTAACGGCAGTAGAAATTTTACGAAATTAGAAATAATGGTAATGGCCATAAGCGAATGGACTAGCAGCTACAAGAAATGTCAGCTGATGGCCTGACAAGAACAAACCCCCAAAACCACAAAGACATTGGAACTTGGACAGTATATTAGTCTGAGGCCATTCAATGGAGAGCCTTCCAGATCAGTGATCCTCAACCTTCTTGGCACCAGGGACGGTTTCGTGGAAGACAATCTTCCAATGGACCAGGCCTGAGTTGGGGGCGGGGGGTGGATTATTTTGGGATGAAACTGTTCCACCTCAGAGCAGTAGACATTAGTTAGATTCTCATAAGGCGTGCATAACCTAGATCCCTCACATGCACAGTTCATAATAGAGTTCACGGTCCTATGAAAATCTAGTGCCGTCGCTGATCTGACAGGAGGTGGAGCTCAGACAGTAATGCTCCCCTCCTGCTGTGCAACCCAGTTCCTAACGATCCACAGATGGGTACTATGGATCCATGACCTGGGGGCTGGGGACTTTATATGCTTTGTGTCACTGATGCTGCCTAGTGTGGTGCCTCATGGTCATAAAGAAGTTAAGGATGTACTGAGATGAAATCTTTTATTTCCAATTTGTTAAATAAGGTATGTCTTCAATTTGACATTTTCCATGAAATGATGTTTAAAGAGGCATTTGAGGATAATCTCAAAATAATCAATGCCCCCCGAAAATGCAGTGGTTTTGTTTAAAAGCGTAAAATCCTTTGGGTTACTTAGTTATCCAGAGTGTCACTTTTTCTGGAAGGTTTTTCTCTCTTGAAGAGTCTGTCTGCAGGGATGATGAAAACAAAAGCAAGAAAGAAGAAAAAAGGTAATTTCCCGTAGGTGACTTAATAGTAGGGGAAAGAAGTGGCATTACTTAACTGGAAGCCTTCAAAATTTATCAAGGACTGAAAGTAGATGCCTCCGATTGTGCGTTTCTGAGAGAGATGCTTCTAGCTGTTTATAACCCCTTGAGTGGGGAAGAGCCTAAAGGCAGGGAAGACTTGGAACAAGTGTTCTAGAATCTCAGGTGTCCCATCCTAAGCTTTGGATCTGATGAGAAGCTGTGGCAATGGAAAGAGAAGGGCAGAGCACACCGAATGTGAGATGAGAAGAGTGAAAAGTTCTGGTACTGGGGGCCAGAACTCAAAACAGTCAAACTGCCAGCTGGTGGTGATGGTGTGCTAGTCACCCCGGCTATTAGTTCTAGGATCAAAATGCTCAGTGATATTTTTGAGTGGGGCCTACTTTGGGAGGGGTTTGCTGTTGACAGAGCTGGATGGGGTCAGAATTAGGGAGTGCTGATGAGATTCAGAATACTGTCCAGAATGAGAAACAGACTACATTGCCTTCTCTGCTCCTGTCCTCCTCCACCTTGGGACTGTCAGCTGGGCAGTGCCTGTCACTTCTTCTTGGCTGCCCCAACTGTGTGTGGTCAACACAACTTTTCTAAGTACATCTTTTTCTTCAAAAGTTTACAAATGAGCAACAATACAGAAAATTGCTCATTAAACTTTTATGGAGTCTAATTGTCAAAAAATCTACATTGTATAACCTGTGTGTGTGTGTGTGTGTGTGTGTGTGTGTGTGTGTGTGTGTATAATTGAAACCCTCAATATTTTGCTGACATTAGTAATAGTAAATTAATAAATATATCTCAGCTATTCAAAAGAATACAGTGACCCAAATTAATCCAGTCTTCAAAAATAATTTTCTTTTCCATTCCAATCATTTTGTTCTTCTCCTGCGGACACTAATAAACTAGGAAGCCTTTGTGGTTGCCTTTGTGGCCAGGTTAGGGTGAATGTGGTTTCAAACAGACTCGAACTCTCTTTGCCAGGCTGAGTATCTCTGAGCCAGATTCTTTGCAGAGGGCTTGGTGTGAGTTAGCACATCCAGAAAGTCGGCGGTGGTTACTGTATCCAGCTGAATCCCTGGTAAGTTGCTGCTTTCTAGGATAAGAACACAACAGTAACAGCACAACAATCGACCTCTTGGTGATCAATGCTCTTGAAACGCTAATAGACCTTCTTTCAAGACAATGCATAATGCAGCATTCTTAATGGTTAATGCAGCAAAAGGCAAGACTAAAGAGGGCTGGGGAAAAAAATCTTTAATGTGCAACTGAGTCAGCCCCTAAGGCCCAGACAAAAAATGTGACTTAAATGTATTGTTATCAAAGTATTATTTAATATTTATATAGTGCCTCAAATGGACCCTGCCCAACATCAGTGTGCCAGAGAAATAAAAGCCTGAGCCCTAAGGAGTTTATCATCTGTGAGCAAAGTCGGTCTGAATTAGAACACCCAAGGAAGGAATGAGTTGAGTGCATACGGTATGATTTGACCAAAAAAAACGCATTGCAAGTGTAAAGACGCACCAGGAACGGGCACCAGGCTCCATCTGCTGGTGAGAGTGGGATATTTACACACATTTCCCAGAACACCTTCACCGTGATCCAAACCATACCTGACTGGTGATTTTCAAGTGCATCGAAGATCTTCCTCACAGGCCGCATGGCTGCTTCCCTGCAGACGAGCTTAATGTCTGAACCTGAGTAGCCCTCGGTCTCCTGAAACAGCCACAAAGCCAGCCATTGGCCAGTGGGCAGAATGCTCCTGGCCATTACATTCTTACAGGCAGGACCCAGTATCAGAAGTCCTGTGTAGATTCTGTATCTGTCACCCAGGAACACCCTAAAAAGACTCCCAGATAAACATTGCTTGAGGAAGAGGCCCTGCTAGCATTTTGGGATAACCTAAGCAGCTGGGCAGGCATGGCTTTCCAACACCATCGAAATATGCTATAAGATGCCTGTGAAGGAACAGACTGCCCAAGTTAGCCTATCAGGGCCCCTGTGCTCAAATCCAAGGATGGTCAAATTTGGTAGGTATGTTTGTTCTTGTGAATAAGTACATACCTGCCTTTTAGGAACTTCAGAGAACATGGTGTTCAAATGTTCACCGAAAGCAGGCAACGTGTCTACAACACCCTGGGAATAGACACCAGTGATAATGGGGATAATAGTCATGTACCTGGAGCTTTTCTGTTACGTAATCATCGCAGTCATTCTTTATGGCTCATCTGCTACCCATTTTACAGATGAAGAAACTGAGCTCAGAAAATAAATGACTTCTCTGAGGTCACACAGCTAACAAGCAGCAGGGCCAGGATCTGACCATAGGTTCTCTGAGTCCAAACCCTATGCTGTTTCCACTGCCTCACGTTGTTTCTCCCTCTCTGAATATTTTTAAGTTGACAAGGAGCTTATTATTCCATGAAGAGGCCCATTGCATTACGGGGCAGCTTGGATCTTTTCTAAGTGTCTCAAGCTCCTAGTGGCTCATGGTAAGACCTGGTCTACAAGATGGCCATGTGGTGGGCCTTTGACCTACACGTGCCCCTCTCCAGGGCAGCTGACCTGGCTCAGCAAACTGTACTCCAGCTCTGTGCGCAGCTCTAAGGCCCTGCTCTTGCTCACAGGGGGCAGCCAGTGGTGGATCATGGCCTGCCTGGCTTCCTGGCTGGGGAGATCGACCAGAATCCTCTTCTCCAGGCGGCGTAACATGGCACAGTCCAGCTCCCTGAAATGACACCAGAAATGGAGCTGGACAGGGCTGCAAACACACTTCCTGAATAATAACTGTACTTTAAGAACAATTTAGCATTGCAAGAAACAGTTCTGCATTCTAACTGTCACTCTACATCTGTGCCTGAGTGGATGGGACAATTATTATTATTTGGAGAAAGAATTGGTGAAAGAGAAAAAGGGAAGTGAGGGAGGGAAGGAAAGATGAATGGAAGGAAGGAAGGAAAGAAAAAGAACATATCCTCAAAAACTCTTAATGAAAAGAAAGTAATTTTAGGTGACTTAATTTGGGGTACAAAACCCAACTAACAACCAGCAATCATGAGTATTCTCATTGCAGTTGTAACATGAATTATTCAATCTGATCTTGCCAGTAAGTAAATTACGGCTGACAATAACTTGGGCACTCTAAGTACATTAATTCTTCCAAAACTCTCAGTCCTTCTGGAGTGAATGACCTCCTCACTTCATTACATTGGCGAACTTAGCACCAATGGCCCTGCCTGGGTGCCCAACACAAATACGGCTTTTTCAGACACACTTTTGCTCCTCCCCAAACTGTCAGGCCAAATTTCTGTAATTTTTTTTTTTTTATCTCCTGGCCATTTCCTTATACTTCTTGATATGGTTTGGCTCTGTGTCCCTACCCAAATCTCATCTTGAATTGCACTCCATGATTCCTACGTGTTGTGGGAGGGATCCAGTGGGAGAGAATTTGAATCATGGGGGAAGTTTCCCCCATACTCTTCTCATGGTAGTAAATAAATCTCACGAGATCTGATGGTTTTATCAGCGGTTTCCGCTTTTGCATCTTCCTCATTTTCTCTTGCCACCACCATGTAAGAAGTGCCTTTTGCCTCCTGCCATGATTCTGAGGCCTCCCCACCCATGTGGAACTTGTAAGTCCAATTAAACCTTTTTTTCTTCCCAGTCTTGGGTATGTCTTTATCAGCAGTGTGAAAACTGACTAATAAATTGATACCAGTAGAGTGCTGTGTTGCTGAAAAGATACCAAAAAATGTGGAAGCGACTTTGGAACTGGGTAACAAGCAGAGGTTGGAACAGTTTGGAGGGCTTAGAAGACAGAAAAATGTGGGAAAGTTTGAAACTTCCTGGAGACTTGTTGAGTGGCTTTGACCAAAAGCCTGATAGTGATATAGACAGTGAAATCCAGGCTGAGGTGGTCTCAGATGGAGATGAAGAACTTTTTGCCAACTGGAGGAAAGGTGACTCTTGTTATGTTTCAGCAAAGAAACTGATGACGTTTTGCCCCTGCCCTAGAGATTTGTGGAACTTTGAACTTCAGTGACGTGATTTAGGGTACCTGGTGGAAGAAATTTCTAAGTAGCAAAGCATTCAAAATGTGACTTGAGTGCTGTTAAAGGTATTCCGTTTTTAAAAAGAAGCAGAGCATAAAAATTCGGAAAATTTGCAACCTGACAATGTGATAGAAAAGAAAATCCCATTTTCTGAGGAGAAATTCAAGCCAGCTGCAGATATTTGCATAGGAAACGAGGGTCTGAATGTTAATCCCCAAGACTATGAGGTAAATGTCTCCAGGGCATGGCAGAGAACTTTGCAGCAGCCTCTCCCATCACTGACCCAGAGGTCTAGGAGGAGAGATTGGTTTTGTGGGCCACCAAGCCCAGGGTCTCCATGCTGTGTGCAGTCGAGGGACTTGGTGCCCTACATCCCAGCCACTCCAGCCATGGTTGAAAGGGGCCAACTTAGAGCTCAGGTCATGGCTTCAGAGGGTATAAGCCCCAAGCCTTGGCAGAAATAATTTGAATCATGGGGGTAATTTCTCCCATGTATGCTGTTCCATGGTAGTGAATAAGTCTCACGAGATCTGATGGGTTTATCAGGGGTATACGTTTTTTCCATCTTCCTAATTTTCTCTTGCCACCACCATGTAAGAAGTGCCCTTTGCCTCCCACCGTGATTCTGAGGCCTCCCCATCCAGTCCAATTAACTTTTTTCTTCCCAGTCTTGGGTATGTCTTCATTAGCAGTGTGGAAATGGACTAATATACTTCTTAATATAAAAATTTCAAACAAACATAGAAGTACAATAAAACAATTGAACATCCATATACCTACCATCTTGATTCAACAGCAGTTCACATTCTGCCGAATCTGCTTCATATCTCTTTATCGACCTATTCTTGCTAAATTATTTCAAAGTAATTTATTTCATGAAACCTCATCCCTAAATATTTTAGCATGCATTTCCAAAGAAGGACATTTGCTTACATAGCCACGATATCATTATGACACCTGGCAAAACTGATTCTGGAATGTGTCTAGTGCTCAGTCTATATTCAGAGTTCTCCAATCAAGGTGGAGGGTGGGAGGAGGGAGAGGATCAGGAAAAATAACTATCGAGGTACTGAATACCTGAGTGATGAAATAATCTGTACAGCAAACCCCCATGACACAAATTCACCTACACAACAAACCTGTACATATACCCCTGAGCTTAAATACAAGTTAAAAAAATAAAATTCTCCAACCATTCCCAAAATATCTTTCATTTTCTGACAAAGTCCAGTAAATATGCATTATGTATGTTTATGTCTCTTAAATTTCTTTTTATCTAGGCCAGCTTACTTGCCCTAGACCCTTTTTGAAAACACAGGGTCAGCTGGAGAATGTCCCACATTCTGAACTTGTCTGATGCTTTCCTTGTGATATCATGTAACTGGTTCCTCTATTCCCTAAGAGGGAGGTTAGTTCTAAAAGCTTAATGAGATTCAAGGTAAATATTTTTTGGCAAGCATATTGCATAGATGATGTTGTGTTTTCATATTCATCAGGATCCACATGTCTGTGTGTTTTACTGTTGGTATGGTGTTTGATTTTATATTGGCCATGGAACTCTTCATTGTAAAGAAAAACATCTTCTCTCAGCAAGTAGTATTTTATGTACAATACTTTGGCACCATGGGAATGCCCAATTCCCTACACCCTTTCAACTAATGGTTTTAGCATCTATTAATGATCTTTGTCTGAATCAGTTATTTCACTGGAGGTTGCAAATGCAGATTAAACACACAAACACAGACATATACACATACTTGGATTTTTTTTTTTTTTTTTTTTTTTTTTTTTGAGATGGAGTTTCGCTCTTGTTACCCAGGCTGGAGTGCAATGGCGCGATCTCGGTTCACCGCAACCTCCGCCTCCTGGGTTCAGGCAATTCTTCTGCCTCAGCCTCCTGAGTAGCTGGGATTACAGGCACCTGCCACCATGCCCAGCTAATTTTTTATATTTTTAGTAGAGACGGGGTTTCACCATGTTGACCAGGATGGTCTTGATCTCTCGACCTCGTGATCCACCTGCCTCGGCCTCCCAAAGTGCTGGGATTACAGGCTTGAGCCACCGTGCCCGGCCATACTTGGATTTTTTTTTTTTTTTTTTTTTTTAGCCAGGGTCTTTCTCTGTCACTCTGGCTAGAGTGCGGTGGTGCCATCTCAGCTTACTGCAACCTCCACCTCCTGGGCTCAAGTGATCCTTCTGCCTCAGCCCTGAAAGTAGCTGGAACTACAGGTGTGAGCCCTGTAGTTCCAAAAAAAATACAACATTTTTATATTTTTTCAGAAGTAGTTTCACCATGTTATCCAGGCTGGTCTTGAACTCCTGCACTCAAGCAGTCACCTACCTCAGCCTCCCAAAGTGCTAGGATTACAGATGTGAGCCACCATACCCAGCCTGGATTTTTCATTCCAAATATATTATTTGGATTTATTATGAAGTTACATAGCACTATTATGTAAAGCAGAGCCTTCCCTCATCAGCTGAGGCTATTTGGTTACTCTAAATCACCATTCTTATCATCAATAGATCATCTTGAGTGTGAGTCTGTGAACTATCTGATGTTCTAGGATAGAACTTAGGAAATTCCTGTATGTTGGCTTTAGCCTAACCACTGATAAAGAGTAAAAATGGCCGGGCGTGGTGGCTCAAGCCTGTAATCCCAGCACTTTGGGAGGCCGAGGCGGGTGGATTCACGAAGTCAAGAGATCGAGACCATCCTGGTCAACATGGTGAAACCCCGTCTCTACTAAAAATACAAAAAATTAGCTGGGCGTGGTGGTGCATGCCTGTAATCCCAGCTACTCAGGAGGCTGAGGCAGGAGAATTGCCTGAACCCAGGAGGCGGAGGTTGCGGTGAGCCAAGATCGCACCATTGTACTCCAGCCTGGGTAACAAGAGCGAAACTCCGTCTCAAAAAAAAAAAAAAAAAAAAAGTAACAATGAGCTGGGTGCAGGAGTTCACGCCTGTAATCCCAGCCCTTGGAGAAGCTGAGGAAGGATATTCACTGACTAAACTGGGCAACATAGTGAGACCTCATCTCTACACGATATAAATAAAATTAGCTGGGTATGGTGATGCACGCCTATAGGCTCAGCTACTTGGGAGGCTGAGGTGGGAGAATCACCTGAGCCCAGGAGGCCGAGGCTGCAGTGAGCCGAGAGCACACCACTGCATGCCAGCCTGAGTGACAGAAATAAATTATTTTAAATAAAATGAAATTTAATTGCAAAATTTTCTTTTTTAAAAAAATAATGATGAAAATATCACCAGGTATTTCTCATTCAAAAAAACACTGAGAATGTCTAAACTGTCCTCCCCCTTTTTCTTATTCTCATTCTAATCTATGTTACAATATTTCTTTTTAAATTGAAAACATCCTTTCAGGGAACATATCTGAATCCTAAATTACAGCATCCAGATTTTTTTAAAGAGTGTGCCTTTTCCTTTCCTATGTTCGTCTGACCCGGAGCTGAGAATCCATAGTCCAGGGGTGTCTTACCGACAGTAACCATGACCTATTTCTTTTTGCACTTGCTTTGTTCTTTATCAGTCTCACCCTGTTGACATTCATCTCACATCAGAGACTCAGCAGCCACCTCTTGCCTTGCACAATCATTCCCCCTCTCAAGGCACATTTATATTCAAGGCACAGGGTCAAGGAAAAGAAAAAGCCATGCT